TATGTATGTCTAATATATATATATATATATATATATATATACACACACACTAGACTTTGCTAACGTATCATAGAGCAGGCGTAAATAGTATTTTCTTTATAAATCAAACTAATTTGACGATCTTAGTCGTAAAATTACTGACATTTAACTTTGTTTCTGAAACAAATAAAATGGTGGAAAATAAATTAAAGTTTTAAAGCGGTCTTAATAAGAGAACTGAAAGCTTTCTGTTAATACTGTTTTAACGAGACGTAAACCTATTTTATGTGCCTCACCAGACATTTTTATTGGCGTTTTAAATAATGGTGAAAGCTTCTTTTTTGATTATAAAAGTCTTCTTCGAGTAAGGTTTAAAAACGATAATTAATATTTATAATGTCTGGTGATCTTGAATTTTGACAGTATTGGATTGTTAATACGAGAAGCTTTCCTGGATTTTCAGCTGGTATATCAATTAATCTATTTATTTTCTCCTTGCGTAAATCCATATAAGCTTTTGTGAAGTGACAACGTTTCAAGGGCTATCTACGTTTCGCTCTTCCTAATTTTGAGCTACTAAACTAGAGGGAAGTCAGCTAGTCAATAGTAACCTCCTTAGCTCTTAAGCTACTTTATTTTGATCGAATAGTAGGATTTGACAGTCGCTCTTATTGCGCACTCACAGCTACAAAGTGTGGAGCGAGGTTATTTACAGCAGTTGTTTGAGAACCGTGAATTCTTGGATTCATAGTAACGACATACTAACCATTAGACCACGCAAACACAATTTTTATGACAGGCTGTTGTTGAATATGTTTTAACATACGTTTTTTTATATACTTTACTACAGTATGAAGTTTTTATGAAATGTACAAAGTAAAATTTTGTAAAAGCTAGAGTTCACTTTTGGCACATAATGAATGAGTCTGCATGATGTCAAGCAAATGTTTCTGTAACGGTAATAACTCATCACAATATTTCAATCAAGCTGTAAAACCCAAACTTTTAATTAATGTTCCTTATATCCAGTATTCTAACATTCAACAAGATATACAAACTAGCAGTGGCTCCTAACACTATTAACGCAGACAAACATGATCCATTTTCTTATAGAAATAAAACTAGCAGTGGCTCCTAACCCTATTAACACAGACAAACATGATCCATTTTATTATAGAAATAAAACTAGCAGTGGCTCCTATCCCTATTAACTCAGACAAAGATGATCCATTGTCCTATAGAAATAAAACTAGCAGTGGATCCTAACACTATTAACTCAGGACAAAGATGATCCATTGTCCTATAGAAATAAAACTAGCAGTGGCTCCTAACCCTATTAACTCAGACAAAGATGATCCATTGTCCTATAGAAATAAAACTAGCAGTGGATCCTAACACTATTAACTCAGACAAAGATGATCCATTGTCCTATAGAAATAAAACTAGCAGTGGCTCCTAACACTATTAACTCAGACAAATATGTTCCATTGTCCTATAGAAATAAAACTAGCAGTGGATCCTAACACTATTAACTCAGACAAAGATGATCCATTGTCCTATAGAAATAAAACTAGCAGTGAATCCTAACACTATTAACTCAGGCAAAGATGATCCATTTTCCTCGACAAATACAAACTACTAGCAACTCTCAACATTATTAACACGGACAAATATTATCAGTTTTCTTTGAGACATACAAACAAACAGTGACTCCTAAGAGTGATGATATTGGCAGGCAAACATGTTTCGTTTTCCTCACAATCTACAATAAGACAAAAGTACTATAGCGGCCCCAAAAACTACTTGAGAAGCATTCTACGTTTTTTTGGCGAGTCGCACATGTAGACTAAACCAGTAGTGACTCAGATAGAAAATCGAGAAGATCTTTGATGAAAATTTTATAAGTTAATCTTTCAGCAAATACGCGTTGAACTGTTCGATATTTAGCATGTTTAACGATTATTT